AAACTTAGGACAGACCATAATAAGGTCTTTTTATATTATAAAATATGTACGGGTACCTATTTTCAACATAAATCAATCACCTGGGCAAAATCACAGTGGATATTTTCGTAAAGTAAGAAAAATATATTCAATCTTAACCAGCTTCAAATCCACCTGACCCCTCTTATGTATTAGGCATTCAACTAAGACATAATCAATAAATTGATGCTACTATAGTTTGGATAGCATTCCTTTTATTATTCTGCGGTCCATTTACATCCATAAAAGTTTATTGGTAGCAAACTAAAACAAGACGACGAACTACATTCAAGACTAATTCGCTGATGAGTAATTTACGGCGGAGATTCACGATGATCCTGTAAATATCATTTTAATGATGTCGTCTTCATGGAAAATATAATGAGATTAAAGAAACTACAAAGACAAACAAAAAACAATCGCCAAAACCTGTAGAAGATTGCGTTAAAGCTCCGTAATGACGTGATTAACTAGCACAGCCTGTTACCATGACAATTACGCTCCATTGGGAAAATGTTACTGGCTGGCCAAACGAACCATGTGACAAGTTAAACAAACAGCTGAACAAATGGCGAAACTGGTCCTAAAATGCATCGTATTTACCATCAGTTTCTCGTAGATGAATTAATTACTCCCACCGGAAGGACATACAACGACGAGACCTGGAGCATAGATGGAGATGGTTACGATCTTGAGATTTGGTCACACTTGGTTGGATTCTCATCTATTGGTTAAAACTCATTTTGACTTTGTAGACTCTTGCCGAAAGTAACCTTGTTTCGTGTGCACGGTATTCCTTACAAAAGCCCCGCTTATTTAAATTGGGATCTGCCAAGCGTTTAGCATCCCTAACGTGTAAATTATTCGTACATTTAGTACTTAGCTAATAAAGTTATCATTCATGGTAATAAATAGGTCAATTGACTACGATGGATTAGAGTACGGACGTGTGCGCAACATTCGACAGTAATTTGATACAGTATATACTATTACTATGGCCGAAAATCGTTACCGGTAATATATAATTCTTTTCATATAAATGCGGTAAACTACTGGTTTTTATTTAAAAATTTTCTATGATGCACTGCAATACATAGGTCTATATGTATATATATATATAGGTTTATATATATATATATAAAATATATATATATAAACCTATATATAGGCCCTACATAATTTACCGCAAGCAGCTTAGAGTGTATCTTGTCATCTCTATCTCTTTGTCATTAATGTTGTTCTTATGAATTACAGTGTTATTATTAAAGTAAGTACATTAGGATTATTGTTTTGTGTATCGTATCCTGGGCACATAAGGATAACAGTTGGTTTTCAACTGAGTTGTTAACCCAGGGTAAACAAGAAATAAATAAATAAATAAATTTGCGCACAAAAGTTATTTATTAGGATGTGTGGGCATAAAAGGCTCCCGACCGGAGTATGAATCTAAAACATGAACATCATTCAATTTCAAAACAATCAGGCTTTCCCGTCGTATGAGATGTAGTTTAGTCAATTGAAATATATTGAAACAAGCCGATATTGAACAATAAATAATTAGAAATGTTCTATGCCTAAATAATGCGTGTCATAACAAAGCATTAAATGAGATAGGCCTATAACAGAATGAAAATTCCAAATTGTCGTATGCATTCTGTAACAGACCGTACGACGCAGAGTAAAGTTATTTTTGAAGGATTTGGTTAAATTAAAATTGGTTAACAAGTATCAATACAATAAAGAATACATTATGTCGAAACTGACCATAACACAGTTTAGAGTTTACGAAGTTAAAACCTAAGCAACATTTATCATAGAAAGATTACCATTGTAGGCCTACTGTAATGTCTCACAAAGTTGGACTAAAATGGACTACAAAATCTGCGGTTCAGTATCGGTATTTTATTTTTATAACAAGAATTTTGAACTGTAGATAAAAATGAACGAATAAAGTTAAAAATCACGACAGATTATATCACTTTTATCGGAGTTTAGTGGACCCAATGGTTTGTACTGTTGCTTACATTTAAAAAGTAGGCCTATCGTCATCACCAATCTAGCCTACATCTAAGAATTTAAATTTTCTCGGCTTTAAATTTACCAATCATAATTTACGCACATTTTGGTCCCAAGCTTGAGCGTCAGCTTACACACATTTAACGATTTTTAAGTGTATACGTTAGTTTTAACATCAATATTGATATTTCAAAAACTATATCTTGAACGTTCTCTAATATTTTGTATACCAATCACTTGACGAAAATCGTACAGTACAGTACAAAACAATACCAAAATATTGTCAATTACCAATTACAATCGCCATATTTGCTTAAAATGAATTTGAATATTTTCTCCTTTTGGGAATAGTGTTTGCTCTATTTTACTACGCAGCGCAGCAACACATTTTGAAATGCTTTCAAAAATTTGTTAAATTATGATAATGAAAAATTCATTTGGTTTAGATAAGATTAAATATTATCCATTATTGTTACTATTATATTTAGGCCTATACTTTAATAATAATATTAGCAGTAGTACGGTAGTACCGTATTACAGTATTGTTATTATCATTATTACAATCATCATTACCGGTATATCCTGTATTTATTACTATTACTTATTGATGATCTTTATAATAGAATTAATAATAAATAATGAATTCAATGCATTTTCCTTTTTCAATTTTGTTTAGTATTTCGTAAGTTTTAAGTAATGTAGCTTTCGATACAGTAGTTTTATATTTATGTACATCTTGTCTTTCTTTAACTCATTTTTGTTTTAGTTCAACTTCTTTTTTCATTTTGCTTTTCTTTTATTCTTTTTACTTGTGATCCACTTGCGATACAAGTGCTGCGCCACTGAAAATGTAATCACACAAAGGACAGAAATAAATAAATAAAAAGCACATTTTTTGGCATAATCAATCAATCAATCAATCGATCAATTTATTAGGAATAACACCGTAAGATCGGTGGCACACACAACAATAATAGTGGTGCATCCAAATTAACAATTATTACAGATAGTAAGGTAAATTAAAAGTAGGCGTATAAAGAAACACAATTAAATACTTTATTCGGCAATTCTTATCTAAACCATTTTTATTGTTACTATTTGTATGTTTGTGAAGTTTTGAAATAAAATATACCATGAGAATGAATGTATGAATCGAGGACTGTAAATGCAAAAGTCAAACCGATGCATAAAATGTTTTATGGAACCCTATAGAGGGCGTAATGCATTATTCTGGCTTGTTATGATTTTACATATTTACTGTATCAGAAATTTTAACCTTGATTATAATTTAGTTGTCTGAACGATGCTATTTATAAATTTTGTTTATAATTCAATGGAAAACGACATATCTGTAATAATTTATATTGTTTTTCTGCACACTAATGAGGTGTTTATATAATCTTATATTTCATATTATATATGGAATCA